TCACAGCGATGCATAACCCAGTCCCAGGGAGAGGAGATAATATGGCCCACTAAGGCAGTTGGAGACAATGGGAGGCTCCCTCAGCTGTTCAGAGCAGATGACGGGTGATGTACCAGACTGGTTAGTGTGGATAATGGGTGTTTCCAGGGCTAGGGAGTGTAGATAATGGTGGCTTCCCGGGTTGCTTAGTGAAGATTAAGGGAGGCATCCTGGGCTGGTTAGTGTAGATAATGGGTGACTTCCAGACTGGAAGGTAATGGGGATTGTCTGGGCTGGTTAGTGTAGATAATGGATGACTTCTGGGATGGTTAGTGTAGATAATAGGTGACTTCCAGCCTGGTTAGTGTAGGTAGTGGGGATTGTCAGGGCTGGTTAGTGTAGATAATGGATGTCTTCGGAGGCTGGTTAGTGTAGATAATGGAGGACTTCCTGGGCTGGTTAGTGTAGATAATGGGGATCATCTGGACTGGTTAGTTAGATAATAGAGATTGTCTGAACTGGTTAGTGTAGATAACAGGTGACTAACCAGCCTGGTTATTGTCGATAATGAGTGACTCAACAGGCTGGTTATTGTAGATAATGGTGACTTCCTAGGCTGGTTAGTGTAGATAATAGGTGACTTCTAGCCTGGTTAGTGTAGAAAGTAGGGATTGTCAGGGCTGGTTAGTGTAGATAATGGATGTCTTTGGAGGCTGGTTAGTGTAGATAATGGGGGACTTCTAGGCTGGCAGGTAATGGGGATTGTTTGGGCTGATTAGTATAGATAATGGACGACTTCCTGGTTGGTTGGTATAGATAATGAGTGACTTGCCAGACTGGTTAGTGTAGATAATAGGTGACTTCCAGTCTGGTTAGTGTAGGTAGTGGGGATTGTCAGGGCTGGTTAGTGTAGGTAATGGATGTCTTTGCAGACTGGTTAGTGCAGATAATGGGGGACTTCCTGGACTGGTTAGTGTAGATAATGGGGATCATCTGGGCTGGTTAGTGTAGATAATGGAGATTGTCTGAACTGGTTAGTGTAGATAACAAGTGACTAACCAGCCGGGTTGTTGTAGATAATGAGTTACTCAACAGACTGGTTATTGTAGATAATGGTGACTTCCCAGGCTGGTTAGTATAGATAATAGGTGACTTCCAGCCTGGTTAGTGTAGGAAGTGGGGATTGTCAGGGCTGGTTAGTGTAGATAATGAATGTCTTCCCAGGCTGGTTAGTGTAGATAATGGGTGACTCACCAGCCTGGTTAGTGTAGATAATGGGTGACTTCCGGGCTGGTTAGTGTAGATAATGAGTGACTTCTTTGGCTGGTTGGTGTAGATAATGTGTGACTTCCCAGTCTGGTTAGTGTAGATAATGGATGACTTTCAGGCTGGTTAGTGTAGATAATGGGTAGATATCATGGGGTGGTTAGTGTAGATAATGGGTGACTTTCTGGACTGTTTAGTGTAGACAATGGGTGACTTCCGAACTGGTTATTGTAGATTACGGGTGACTTCCTGGGGTGGTTAAAACGTGTAGACACGTGGCCTTGGGTCACAGGTGTGAGCGGTGGGCCTGGTCTTGGTCAGGTCTATGCTCCCTGAGTCTAGAACAGGACCGGGAGCCCAGCAGTTTGCCAGGAATGTCTTTGCGTGGGTAAGCCCACGAGGGCCACCCCCCATCGCCTAC